GAGCGAAAAGGTACAGAAGGCATTTGATTTTATAAAGCAACAATTTATTAATACAATACAATTGCATCACCCGGCTTTTAGTAAGTATCTTGGAACCATTCGCTCTATAATAGAAATAGAGGAGAACAGTGGAGTATCGGCTTTTTATATCTTAGGAGACTTTACCTAGACCCTAGTGAATTATTTTATAATGTAATGTTGGACTTCTGTGTGGATCTTAATTGGATTTGTGTAGATTTAAATTTGTGTGCCAGTAATACATATACCTATTGTAGTGACGCTCACGGTTGTAATAGATGGCTGGATCACTGCATTGTCACAGAGTCGGTGCGGAATACAATCGTTATCGTAACGGTTAAATATGACGTGTATTTGTCTGAACACTATCCACTAGTAGTCGTATGTAATCTGGGTAATCTTAAGCCAAAAGTACCTAAATTGGATATATGTAGAACAACCAATAAATCGTCTTATATGGGGAGAGAGTCAGCAGCAGCAAATCCATCAGTACCATGGCCTCTGTCATGCTAAGTTAAGACTCATTGAATTTCCACATTAAACTAAGTGCTTGTTGTGATAAGTTCTGTAATAACAAGAATCATCACTTAATCTTAGATAACTTATATTTGGATATTATAAATATATTGTCAGAGGCAGCTATCCAAAAACACAAAGTTAAGTGTCGAAAGAAGGGAGGTTATGTTTTTGGATGGAATAAGCAGGTCGCGGGCCCCCACCGGGGAGGCGAGGCTGAAATTTAAATTGTGGAATTTAGTCGGGCGGCCAGCTAGTGGAAGTGGAAGTAAGAGGAAACTAAAATGGTGAAAGGACAGGCAGGAGCAACTTAAAATGGATCGCCTTGCTTCCGACCACTCCTCGAAAAAAAGTTTAAGATTTTTGGAAAAACACAAATAAAATGAATATAAGGCCGTACGTCCCTGTGGACGTTGGTGGTGCTCATGACCATAAAGACTATTGCGAATGCTTTTAGGAAACAGTTCACCATGCAGTCAGTCTTAAGTTGGTGCAATTCTTACATTGAAGCATACCGTCGGTTATTACACGGCTAGGGGGACGCCGGTATACGCGTGTTTCTTCGACTTTTCCAAGGCCTTTGACTCGGTCAATTATGATAAATGGAGCAAGTTGAGGGACGCAGGTGTGCCGGCGGATTATATTTCTCTGATCGAGTACTGGTACAGTAATCAAAAAACCAGATAAGATGGGCGGGTGCGCTATCAGATGAATATAGACTAAAATTTGGTGTCAGACAAGGCGGTTTAAGCTCACCGTTGTTATTTAATTTATATATTAACCAGCTTATCGTGGAACTGGTTAGCACACATGTCATATTGACGGGACATGTGTTAATAATATAAGCTATGCAGACGACATGGTGCTGCTCAGTCCATCTACAGGTGGGTTAAGAAAATTATTGTCCGCAAGAAGTATGCGGAGGACCACGGCTTGAAGTACAAGTACAAATGAAATTCTTGTTTTTACAACAACGAAACAACCGCCGCGCCCTAAATATTGTTAATCCTTTTAAGTATCTCGGTCACATTATAACGAGCGATTTAAGCGATGAATGTGATATAGAGAGAGAGAGAGAGCGTAGGGTGCTGGCAGTTAGGAGCAATATGCTTGCCCGCAGGTTTGCTCGATGTACAGATGACGTAAAAGTTACTCTACGTCGCCTGTATGAAAGCCTGTGGGTATCATACAGGCGACGAGCTTACAGCGCCCTTCGCATAAAATACAATAACGCTTTTAGGATGCTCTTAGGACTGCCATGGCGGTGTAGTGCTTCTAAAATGTTCGCGGATGCTAGGACTGATGGATTTCATTCTGTTATGCGAAAGAAATCAGCCTCAATGTTACAGCATCTGCGAAACAGTAACAATAGCATTTTAAAAATGATCGCGGCGAGGCCAGATTGCCACTTTCAGCGACACTGGGTATAGCTGGCAATAGGACTAAAATGTCAATGAATTTTGTATGTATATATAATTATAACGTAGGCATAAATACTAATATTACTAATATAGTTATTAAGTAAAATTTTTACTAATGTACTTACACTTAATATGGACGAATTGTGTCTGAAATAAAGTGATTATTATTGGGGGGTATGAATATAGTTTTCTCATCTGGTTGGGTTCTATAAATATATAATTATAAATGAAAATGAAAAGATAAATATACATAAATATCAATAACATAAAATAAATATAAAAATACATATATAAATAAAAGCCCAACCAGATGGAGGCCCCTCGGCAGAGGAGAACAAACGGCCGAGGGTTAGGGCGGTGTACGCGTGGGAAAGGGAAAGAAATCGGCGGACGAAGCGGGCGGTATCGATGAGCACCGCCTTCTGCATTTGAGCCTGGAGCGTTCCGCCACGCAGTCCCAGCCACCTCAGATGACCCGAGATGCTGACTGGGATTAGCCTGTTTGCAGAGACGACTACAAGAATAATTTCGGTCGGCAGACCACCCCACATGTCGGTCACCTCGTGAGCCAGGTACAAATATTTTGTTTGCTTTTCTGTTTCGGCTTTCACGAGGTTCTCGTCATACGGAATGGTAATGTCGATCAAAAATATCCTTGATTGTGCCCGGTCCATCAGCACAATATCAGGCTTTTTCGCAAGAATAGTCCCGTCTCTGATGATGGCCCGGTCCCAATAGAGCCCGGCGCGATCATTTTCGAGCACGGCTTCCGGCAAGTACGGCAATTTCCGATCCACGAGACCGTATTTCAAAGCGAGCTCGTGGTGCATAATTCTGGCTACTAGGTTGTGCCTGTGCAAGTACTCAGAGTTAGAAAGCGCCGAACAACCTGAGATCACATGCCTAAGTGACTCACCGGGATGGCGACAAGCTCGACAGATGTCGACGGTGCCATCCTTTAGGATGTATCTCCGATAGTTGTTGGTCTAAATAAACTGATCCTGTATTGCGCAGACAAAACCCTCGGTTTCACCGAAGAGATCACCAAAGCGTAGCCAGTGGAGGGAGGCTACTGTGCCTATGAAAGGCTCATATAGAGCCTTGTAGAATCTCCCGTGGAGCTCCTTCTCCTTCCATACGGTCTCCCGGTCGGAAATGCTCTGCACTGCCGGGTCATGCCATTGCTCGTTGGCTAAAGATAGAGGGGTAAGTCCTTTATCACAAGAAATGACGTCCTTATAGAAAGGATATTCCGATCTCGCCAGAAAGTAATCGCGCACACTTCGCGATTATGTATGGTGATCGCGCTCAAAAAGCCACGCCCACCATGCTTTCGCGACAAGTACAGCCTCATTACCGACGATCTCGGATGATGCATCCTATGGGACGTCATTGTAGTGCGGACTTTTCTATCTTGGGCATTAAGTTCAGTCCGAGTCCACCTGAGTATGCCAAAGATATACATGAGAACAGGCATGACCCAACCTTTATATGCGTGTCTCTTATTTACTACGGACAAAAGGCTGTTAAGCAATTTGGTCAAGCGTGCATAAAACACGTCGCAAACTGACTGTTTCATACCAGCCTCATAGATACCGATGTTCTGTGACATACCCAGGTATCAGTATGTTTCAGCCTCGGAAAGGGCCCTTAGTTGACGGGCATAGATTAGTCTATGCCCTCAGAGTTAGCAACCCTTCCCCTTTCAACATGGAGGACCGCACACTTATATGTCCCCAGCTCCATTCCAATAAAATTGCTAAATTCACAAGTGATGTTTAGCAATTCCATAAGATGGGAGTGACTGGAGGCGAATAACTTGAGGTCATCCATATAGAAAAGGTGGGTCACTTTTGTACCTCCTTTCCGAAGCTGAAATCCCCTCCCGGAGCCATCCAGTAAGGTACTGAGAGGGTTCAGAGAGGCAGAACCATATTGGACTCAGGCAATCGCCCTGGAAGATACCCCTTCTTATTCTCATGTGGTTCTCCGCAGCCCACATCCACTCGCCCAGATGACAAAGGATCGTACTCCACTGCCCCATACACTGCTCAAGAAAGTCTCTAACTGTACAGTCTATCTTGTACAGTTCGAGGACTCTCTTTAGCCATGTATGGGGCACTGAGTCGAATGCCTTTCTGAAGTCTATCCAGGCGGCGGAGAAGTTCCGACGGTTGCGTTTCACCACTTTGCCAATAACCGCGTCAATGAGGAGTGGTTCCTTGGTTCCACGACCGCCGCCCCGACATCCATTTTGAGCGCGCGACATCACCTGATTTGGGTCCAGGTAACGAGTGATTCTCGCGCTCAAAATGGATGTTAGTGTCTCGTATATGGTCGGTAGACATGTAATGGGGCGGTATTTGCTCGGGTCTGTGGTACCCTGGCCTTTAGGAACCAAATGGGTGATCCCAGTAGTGAAGAGGCTCGGGAGCGACTTCTGGTTGAGAACCTCTTGAAACTGTCGGGCGAGCACAGTGTGACACACCACGAACCCCTTCAGCCAGTAGTGATGCAGCCCGTCGAGTCCTGGACTTTTTCAGTTCGGGGCCCTACAGATTGCCTCAGCTACGTCATCCAGCGTTATGGTGACGGGGTCCATGGGCGTAATACCCGCACACTGACTCGCCACAACTTCCGTCCAAGGGCCCTCGTTGTGGTTTACGGGCTCTGGCCACAGGCTGCGCCGGAATGCGACCGTGTCGGCCTGATTCGGTACTCGGCCCGTTCCACTTACCATTGGTCGCTCCAATGATTTATAGAGCCTCTTCTGATCACTCTGGAGAGACGATTCTGATTGAACCGTGTCGACCTCTCGGTATATCGCCGAATTCGCTTTCCCCAAGCAGCGATTCTCTGCTTCAGGTCGTCTATGCGCTCCGTCAGTTTTTGCATTATATCCGGCTGGGACAAACTAACATTTGTCCCAGCAAACGCCATCCTGACGGTGCGCACAATCCTTGGCCTGGTATTGCCTGACCTGAAGCATATCAGTCTGCCGATGAGGGCCCTAGCCTTTGCGATACATTCTTCAATTCTAGTTCTCTAGGCTGGGATAGCACTACTTTGTCCAGTAGTGCGTCCAGCCGTGGAAAGTTTGGCGCCTATAATACGGCAGACTGCCAGTGCGGCGCCAAAGAGAATTGAGTCCGTCTCGCAAAGTTCCCGGCTGGCTTCCAAATAGGTCACCAGCATTGGGTTCAGAGCCCTTACGACAGCCCGATTCCGCTTGCTTAGGGCTATGCGGGGAAGTCGCGGTCGATTTTCGAGAGGCGTACTGCGCGTTTCCATAATCGCCTCTTCCAATGTACTCCTCATTTGCTCTATTTCTAGTTCCTGGGTGAATGTTCCATCATCATTTGAATCTGCAACCACTAAGGTATTCTCGGCGGCATCCACGTGTGCGGGTTGTTCTGCAACTTGTGGCACCGCACCCCCAGTCGTAGCGTTTTCATTTGATAAGGGAACAGCCTCACGTCGTAGCCGATCGAGTTCGGCGCCATCAAATATATTTGAGCGTAAGACATACCGAACTCCGTCAGCCAGGTTTTGCTCGGTGACAGTAATAGATGGCTCCAGCTCAGTAAAAAGACGATGCATCCTAGACCGATACGCGAAACCTCCAATTTCTCCCCCTTTCTCCTTTAAATACGCCCGCAATGCGTTTGTATTCATATTGATGGTCCATCGCATGCGGCGTACTCCACCAGTGGCGGGTGCCGATTGCTGGGTTTGCGAAGACCCTGCCGACACCAAGGCAAGCTGGTGGGGATGATGGATGCGAGGGGCTCCTGGGTGGTCGTGCAGCATCTCGCGCTCGGCTGGCGGTTCGCATGCTGTCGCGTCCATCGCCAGCTCCAGACGCGCCCTGACGACCTCCAGGCAGCGGCCCTTTGCGCAATCTTCTGTGTTCCATCATCCATACAGGGCGTCATTTAACGGGAGACGCCCAGACCCGGCGCCGTTTCATGGTGAGGCCATATGCACAAGCGGGCCCTTGCACCATCAATTTTTGCCGAGGCACGGCGCTCACACCTCTTGGCAAGGTGCTGACTGACTGCGCGGACGTAGCGGTTTTGTCACATAACCGTCACGTCAGCGGGCGATGGGGTCGTCACTTCCCTACGCCATTTAGAAATTATATTATTATTATTATTATTTAGTAAACCATATTTTTTGCAAACAGACTGTTCCGATGTGGGTATGGGCGGAGAACTTTATCAGATAGATAATAATAATGAAATGAGAATATTAGGCTATCACAGTAAAGCTTTAAAAGGTTCTGAATTTAATTGGTCTGTCACAGAACAAGAGTTTTATACTGTGATAAGTTGTCTAAAGAAGTTCGAGACGTATTTAAGGGGCAGCAAAGTAATAATATTAACTGATCATAAAGCATTATTGTTTATAAATAATATGAAATTATTCAATGGTAGAGTCACTCGATGGATATTGTATATAGAACAATTTAATTACGAAATGCAGCATACATAAGGTAGAAGCAATATTGTTGCAGATATGCTATCATGTTACCCTCCTGATGGTAATTTAATACAGGAGGATAAAAATAAAAGTTTAGAAATAGCTTATAGAGAGAGTGAACCGAATAACGAGTTGATAGAAAAGTTAAAATCCATATCAGTATACCAAACACAAGATACAGAGTCGTTGGCTATTATTGAAAAATTAAAGACGCTAAATATTTCAACAATAGAACAAAATGATAAACTGAAACGTTATAGTTTGAGAAATAATATATTATATTACAAAAAAAAGAAGTAATCTATTTACCTGTACTTTTGAGACGAGATGTTATAAATCAAGTACATATAGAAATGGGAATCAAGAGCCCTATAAAGTAATTGAATATGTGAGAGATAGATTCTTTTGGAAAAGTTTAACAAAAGACATTAAAAAGCAATTAAGGGTATGTCATTTATGCCAGTTATCAAAGAAAAGTAATATAACATATGTGGGTCCATGCAAATCTATAATAACAGAAAATATCGGAGACATGGTCATGGCTGACTTATATGGACCATTGGCATCAGGTACCTTTAGGTACACTTTCATATTTGTTATACAAGATTCATTTAGTAAATTTATCAAATTATATCCTTTAAAACAGTCAACAGCAAAGTATGTTGTAATGACAGTAAAGCATTTTGTTGATATTATAAAGCCCAAAGAAATAATGACAGATAATGGAAAGCAGTTTATAAGTAATCATTGGAAACAATCAATGAAAGAATTGAATATAAAACCGATATAAACCACAGTAAGAAATCCTAGGCCAAATACAACAGAGCGAGTAAATAAAGAGTAAATAAAGAGTTGAGAAGATTATTCAGGACACTTTGTCATGCTAACCACAAAGATTGGGCAATAATATTGCCTAAAATAGAAGAATTGTATAATACATAATTCATATCACAATAGTACAGGCTTTCACGCCATTTGAGATTCTTTATGGCGAGTCTAATGAAATGTCTTTCGACAAAATAATATTTAATAGTAAAAACAAACATAATGTCGAACAAATTAGACAGCAAGTGCGAAAGAATTTAAAAGAGGCAAGTCGCATTAGAAACACAAAATTTGATAAGCGCAATAGATTAATGACATATCACGTTGGCGATTTAGTAAAATTTTCTAGATCTAGTAGATCAGATGCAGATAACAAAGTTATGAGTAAGTTTAATTTAGCGTATGAAGGGCCATATATAATAGCAGCCGTACCATTTGACAATGTATATACTTTAATGCAAACCCAGAAACAAATGAAATTAGAGTAAACTTTAATGCTATTCATAAAATTTAATGTATATAAACCAAAACTATTAATTAAAATATTTTAAATAATAGTTTTGGTGTATATACATTCTAGAATATATACTGTAATATAATTTTGCCCCGTAGATGGTCTTTTGAAAAATAAATTTAATTTATGAAAGTTTTGAGCGAGACACAAATTAATTAAAAATAAGAAAAATTTTTGTAATAATTTTATTAATGACTATCTATAAATATTGATTGTAAGATAATTTTGTAAAATATTTTTTATTGAATAAATTTGGGGAGTTGGGTCAGGGTGAATGGCTCAATCACATTTATCCTGTGGGTGTGTAGCCATCCGATTTCAACTCATATTCAAAATATATAAAGACAACATTGCTGAATTAATATTTTAAAGATTTAAAATGTAAGTCAAAAACTAAAGAGAACCACTATATTAACGACATAATATACAATAAATTTATCAAGATAACAATTTATGGTTTATCGCATTGGGATAGATGTGGTTGAAGGGGTGTTTGGCGGCGGCCATTCCCTGGGGTAGGTGGGATGAAAATATATACTGATTTGGAACAGATTGAAAGAGGAAAGAACAGATTCAAATTTTTGAGTGTAATGCATATGCTTTCAATATAGTAAAATTTTATATCAACGACTCCACTGTGTGGGTCATTAATATAAAATTTGGGGGTGGATTGTGACGGCCCAATAGTATTATTAATAATTAAATTCAATATAAAGGGACATCAAAAAAAGTCTTAAAATATATATGTATTAAGCAATAAACTTACATTAATAAGCATAAAGTAAATATAAATACATTTCAGACATTAGACCATAAACATGACATAGTAAATTAAAGGCAAAATATTGTCTTTCATAATAAATAAATTTATTTAAATACTTGTAAATATATTTAAAACAAGATAAACAATAGAAATACAAGTCGAAAATATTACAAAAATAAAGATAAATAACATTATAAGATAATTAAAAAAATTTGTTAAAAATTGACTAAGTTATGGAAGGTGTTCATGTATCTGTCTTGTATGGAGGAGCTGCCGGAGATATAGGACTAGTCATTGTGCTACAGTACTTCAAGCAGTCGGGCTCCAGACCACCCCATATATATGTACAACTGCAGGTATGTAGTTGTACATAAATATGGGGTGGTCGGGAGCCCGACTGCTTGAAGTACTGTAGCACAATGACTAGTCCTATATTAGGGACTTATGATAATAAACTCAATGATACAAAAGCAATACTATAGAAGGTATCCATGATGAATTTGCATCACAATAGTAGGGTCGTGGGTTGAAGTCCTATATATTAATGACTTATGAAAGTATGGTTTTTGATACAAAAGAATTACTTTAGAAGGTCACTATGATGAATTTGCATTACAATAATAGGGTCCTGGGTTCGAATCTTATATATGAATGACTTATGAAAGTAAGGTCTATGATACAAAAGTATTACTATAGAAGGTCTCTATGATGAAATAGCATTACAATAGTAGAATCGTGGGTTGAAGTCCTATATATTAATGACTTATGAAAGTAAGGTCTATAATACAAAATCAATATTATAGAAGGTCTCCTTGATGCATAACCATTATATGGGGTGGTCGGGTGACCGACTGCTCTTAGTACTGCAGCAAAATGACTAGTTCTTATTAGGGACTTGAAAAAGGAATATTATGGTGGCGTGTATGCTGCTTCACGAGCAATTAGTCTGAGGTAAACTTGGACTCGCTAACCGATGTGTCCTAGACATATCATCTTAGTGCTGGTGGTAAGCGGGTTTTTTGTAGCAATACGGCTTTCTCGTGGACATCGAACACCCATACCGTTTGTGGGTGGCGTCGTAGCGCATAGCGACGCATCGTCTATCTTTCTTTCTTGCGGTATTACGTCTTGCTATGGATCTGCGGGTGTACTGCGCCTGATTCGACGCACTCTCGTGGTTCTGGTCGATGGAGGTATGCGGGTGGTGATGTCTGTTGGGATGTATAAGGGACCTTGGGATGCTGTAAGCCCGACGATTGTCGTATTGATGCTTGTTGCGTTCTGCAGCATTGCGCCTCTGCGATGGTTGTTTGGTGGGACGCTATTCTCAATGGCGCTCTCTGCGTCTTGGTTTGACTCACACCTAAGTAGGTTTGCCCAAGTCGGGTCCCTTCATTACGGGGCTGCAGACTATCTGCCCTCCACGATGTTTTATATAACAACATAATAATATATCTCTGCAACTTTCCTACCATTGAATGATTGAATGTAACTTGTTGGTGGGTGAGACAAACATGATCGAAAATGCATTTACTCAACGTCAGTGACACAAACCCTTTCTGATGGCGAATTGTTACTCTTATCTTATAACTGCTCTTTGGCTATATCTGCCGTTGTATTGGTTGGTGGTTTATGTGTCGACCTCATGCGGGTGGTAGCTGGCGGGAGGATCTGAGGAGACTCTCAAGGCTGCGGTCGGAAGCCACACAACGCGGAACCCCATTCCCTTGAGGTGAGCGGTAGACTCATGACACGCTCTGCGGCTGGTAGCCGTGCTGATCATGCAATTGGTGGTGATGCCATACATTTACATCACGTCTGCAGGATGTAATGTGGTCTAGCAGGTGGTAGCGCTCACGGATGGTTTACGGCCAGTGTGCCTATTTGCCTAAACCGTGTAACGTACATTTACTGTGGCTGGATTCGTTCGTATTCTGTATGGCGTTTACACGCATTGACATGCGCGACTTCGGTCGATGTTTGTGCTTACGCACTAACAAGGGGCCAAGCCACCTTTACCGGTTCCCCAGTTACTTAACTGTGTCCAAGTTCCCGAATTAGCGTTCCCTTGGGGAAGGGGGGGGGGAGTGCATCAAAATGGTTGGCGCTCACCGCGCACGGCGTGTGTGGAGCCGTGTGACTCCCCTACATTTTTTTAAATAAATGTAGGAGAGCGAATCCCTTGTATCGGGTATTTTGTATAAATATATTGTGAGCCTTCTCCAAGCGGGAAGGGATAATTAATAAATAAATTAATAATGCAAA